TCCTGTGGAAGTCATTTCATATCCTTTATGTTAGCCGTGGTGGCTCTTGCCTACTAAGAAAAGAGGGGTTCCCTAGCTACTCCAAGTAGGGACAGATGTGGGACTTACAAGATAGGAAATTGCTGCAGCTCTGTAACCCCACACAAATGACAGCTGTTCCTACTGGAAAGAATATTTCATTTCCTGTTCCTATTTCTTTCTAAGCAATTCTTCTGAGTCAGAATTATCCATATTTATGTCTTAATAATCTCTGGCTATCCATTTTATCTGAAGAGTATTCGAAATATCCTTTCTATTTCCCATCTGAGCTGAACTTTGGGGTAACCATTTCCTACATGTAGCTGTTGCTACCTTAACATTTTGTACTTACCAGCCAGGATTCTGGGAGATGATGAAGTTTGCCTGGGTCCAGTATGTCAGCATCCTGCTCATCTTCCTCTGGGTGTTTGAAAGAATCAAAACCTTCGTGTTTCAGAATCAAGTAGTGACCTCCATCCCTGTGGCCGTGCCCCAGGGAGAGGTAGGAAAAGAGCACTTATCTTGAGAAGACCACCCCATCTGGAGACTCTAGGGACCGTGGCTACCTCGCTCTTGTCTTCTGAGAACTGCCCTTTTGCAGCATCTCCGCAACTAGCCTGTTGGACACATTCAGGCCTGAATGTTTTCCCCTTAGAAACAAAGAATGGTTTTTCCAGAGTCACACTGCATAGACCCTGTGCCTTCAAAGCACCGAGGAACTCCGCTAGGACTAGTGCGGAGGGAGGTCACGGGGTTACTGGGGCCTGTGATCTTTGTTTTGTTTCTGGTTTTGCTTTGGCCTTGAGTTTTAGGAGAAGACTGCAGCCAGTTCCTACATCTTTGAAAGAGCCCCACTTCTGGTCAAGCAAGGACTTCTCCTTTTGGACCCCACCCCCACCCCACTCCCCACCCGCCCACCCCGGTCCTAAGTGACTTTTCAGCCTCTCCCAGGGCTGAAAAGAGAAATATGCAAGTCCCTAGTACTTTGTCCTCCTAGGTGTCTACACAGTGCCCATTCAGAACTTTGATTTCCAGACCTGAAGACTTTAACTGGAGAACTGAAGGGGGCAGGGCAGGACCTAAACACAAGAGCCCCAGAAACATTAAGTTACCCGCATGCTGGTGGGTAACTTAAGGGCAGGAGGACTAGACACCTGCCCTCAGGCTCATAGATGGAGGTCTGTCAGCGGCTCAGCTGAACAGCCCTCTGTTCCTGCCCTGCTGTGGCTGGCTCTCTGCCCTGCTTCTTGCCCTCTGTCTGCCCCTGGGATGGCGGCTGGAGTCAGAAGTGTTGTCTCATTCCGTCTGTCCCCCACCCCCAGCGCCAGTGGAGGATGTTGGGCTTCTAACAACAGGTTCTTTCTCTCTGGCCCTCACCCAACAAGCCTGGCCACTTGCCACTCCTCCTCTTCCATGGCCTTCCCCCTTTCTGAAAGGATATGGGTGACAGAGGGGTTTGTTGTTGGTGTTGGCATCCATTGCCTGACAACCGCAGGGTTTATTCAGAGGCTGAGCTGGAAGCTCAGTTGCCTGCAGTTAGTTCCCTTGACTAAGGAAAAGGGAACTCACCAGAGGGGAGGCTTTGGGGAGGGCACGAGGAGCAGAGAGCGTAGAAAAGGTTAGGCAGAGCATCTAATCCAGCCTGCCTACTAACAGAGTACAAGCAACCCAGCAAGATGGCCCTCTGGCCAATTTAAATACATATCTACAAAGAACACGGCCAGAACAGGCGTCTGCTTCACAGAGCCTCGTTCTTGTCCTGAGCAATTGTGCCGTCTTAAGGAGCGGTGGCTCTGTTTATGACTGCACCATGCCTTCACGCCTTCAGCCCTGGAAGGACTCACCTGCCCCTACCGTCCATGCCTCACATAACCACACACACTGTATCTCAGTTTACTTTGGAGAGAGACTCGGCTCTGATTTTCGGAGCACATTTCTGTCAGCCCTAGCAAAGTAAGAATTTTGAAAACAAAGCTATTTTGAAGTATTCAACAGAAAAAGTCCCCAGTACTAGTTTCTCTGACTTAAAATGTTACAGCCACATATGCCTCTATTTTTTTTTTTTTTTCTGGAGATTTAAATGAAAAATGTTCTGATTTCCATTTCAAAAAGGTATGGGAGTGTTAGGGGTATGGCTCAGTTGGAAGAGTGCTTGCCTGACATGCTCTTTGGAGTCCTGGGTTCCACCCCCAACAATGTATAAACCCTGAAACCCCAGCACTCCAGAGGTGGAGGCAGATGGAACAGACGTTCTAAATCATCCTTGAGTTAGAGCCCAGCCTGGGACACTTCAGATGCTGTCTCAAAACAAGAAAATGGCGGGGAGGGCTGATCAGTTCATCAGAATATGTTGTTTGGGAAAAAAAAAAAGAAAGAAAGAAAACCAAAGACACAGGCTACTTTGTGTTACATTAAACTATTCTGTGCAAAATTTGTATAGAGAACTCAATGGTGTTTTATAACTTTATAATTAAAATATTCAGAAAGAAACTTCCCTGTCGTTCCTGAAATGCAGGGTCTTGGGTGGGGAAGCATGGGGAGGGCAGAGGGTCCACCTGATTCTGAGTGACTGACTCTTCAACAGCCATGCTCTGCCAGCACTCTGCCTAAAGATTTTGGAGCTTTTGTCAGGTCTCTGGCAAAAGTCCCCTCTGCCAACCCCAAGTAAAGAAGGGTTTTTTCCTCGGGATCCACATGCCAAGTGAAAGACACAGGCTGGAAAATTACAACTGTGTTTGGTGGGTATCAGGTTGTTTTGAGATCAGATGTTAGTTCTGGGCCTACTTCACACAGAACAGCAAGAGGAAAAATAGTGGAAAATATACAGGATTGCAACTGAGCTTTAACTCTGAGGAGCCAGGGTTTGAGCTAATTACTCGCTGTGGGAGGAGAACAGAGAAAAGGTCTGGTTTTATCCAGTGGTAGGTTTTGTTTCTGTCTGCATGAGGTTAGGCCTGGGTTAGCAAAGCTTCCTCTCTAACCAATTTTTGTTTATTTTCCCTCTTTTTTAAATATTCCCTTCCACTTTTTCATATTCATGCATTTGAAAGTAAGTTTTGTGCTTCTTTCTTTCTTCCTTCTTTCTCCCTTTCTTTTATTTCTCTTTCTTTTTCTTTCCCTCTCTCTTTCTTCCTTTCTCTCTTTCTTTCTTTCCTTTCTTTCAAAACAGAATTTCTCTGTGTAGCTCTGGCTGTCCTGGAACTCACTCTGTAGACAAAGGTCTGCCTCCCAAATTCTGGGATTTAAAGGCATGTGCCAACCCCCACCCCTCCACATTTATACATTTTTGACTAGGTAAATCCTAAGTGTCTTCTGAAAGATTGTGTAAATTACACAAGCTTTAGTTAAATTTATTTATGTTTATTGAAACAGGGTCTTGGCATGCAACCCAGGGTGGCCTTATACTTCAGGTAATTCTTCTGCCTCAGTTTCTCAAGTGTTGGAATTACAGAAATGACCCACCAAACCTGACCTTAAAGGTTTTTGTTGTTGTTTTGTTTTGTTTTTTTGAGACAGGATTTTTCTGTGTAGTCCTGGCTGTCCTGGAACTTATCTGTAGACAAGCGTGGCCTCCAACTCAAGCGAGATCCAGCTGCCTCTGCCTCCCTCTGGAGTGCTGGGATTAAAGGCCTGTGCCACCACTGCCTGGCTCTGAGTTTACATTTTTTAAAGAAGGTAACAGCCATCTAAATCCTTTACCTAGAAAATAATGGCTGGCATTCTCTTAGAACAGTTTTTTGATCTTTTTTTTCCCCTTGGGCTCCTTGCAGCTTTTCCTCCCTTGTCTTAAATACCACTCCTTTGAAAGTTATATATAAACCGTTGGTTGGTTTATTTCCTTAAGATGGATCCAGAAAGGAGTTACTAGCTCAGAAAGCTTATGGCTATGGTTAAGGATCCTAAATTTATCTTGCCAAACCGCACCCCGGAAAGGCTACACTGATATGCTCTCCCAGCAGCCAGAGAAGTGGACCCCACTACAGATTTACAGGTCTCCCACAAAGTCCTAACTTCTGCATGTACTTAGGCTCTGCCCTGTTATTTGTGAGAGGTGAAATCTGCTTTATTTGTTGAGACGTGTCCAGTGTTTATCCGGACCTGTTATCTCAAGCCCGCACCTCTGGCCAGAGGCGTGTGCTGGAGGAGATGGCAGCTGCCGCTCCAGCTCCAAAAGCCACCTGTCCTCTTGGCCCCTCCCCACTCCGCTGTTGCTCAGGACGCAGCCGGGTCCCCCTGGCATCAAGCTGTTTGGATAGTTACAAGGATGCCACCCGAAGAGGGGGGGGCAAGATAAAGATTCAGTTTCCTGCACAAGGGCCTTTTGTCCTACCAGAAGCCTCTCCCCTCGGGACAGAGTTTTCGGTCCATTAGTGGGCCAAGCCGTGCCTCTGCCAGCACCCTTGATGACCCATCCTTCCCCCACACACACCTCCCGTGGGCGGGGTAGGGGGACGGGGCCGGTCGGTGTGGTTCCTGGAGCCCACCTGTGCCCTCCCTCTTCCTGCCCTCGCCACCCGACCCCCACCCCCAGGCGTGGCTCAACACTGTCACGGCTGGGGAAGATTGCGGAGCCCCGGGCCAACTGGCTGCTTTCTCTCCGCGCTCCCGCCGGCGGCCCCAGGCGAAGAGCCACCGCTGACTGAGCGTCTCATTGTGTGCGCCCCGGGCGGGCAGCGAAGAGCAGCGCATCAGCGCAGCAGCGCAACCCGCAGCGCAGGTAGAGTGGGGCCGGGCAGGGGGCGGGGAGCGGGGTTGCTCCAGGCCGGGAGTTCAAGGGTCTCCGTGGTGACCCTGGGACCCCTGCACCCCAACATCTAGCTCTTACAGCTCTTCTGTTTCCATCCCTCGCTGGGACATCCCTCTACTTTTCTCCAAGTATTTCAAGTGTTAGTACCCCATCGGGGGCTGATGTCACCGGATGTCCTTCGCTGCGGGGTGGTAAGAACCTAGTCAGTCCCCCGAGGACTCACGGGGAAGATGAAGCACTGCCTGTGGGCTGTCTTAGGAGCCTTTGTTGAGCCTGGGGAGAAAGCGGTCCTGCTCCGGGCGCCAGGGCCAGTTCAGGGCCGAGCATCAGGCTTTCTTTCCGGTAGAGGAGTAATCAGGTCTCCAGGTAGGTGTTCACTCGGAGGAGGGACTGGGGCTGAGCTAGAGATGCAGCTGGCGCTGCTCATCAGTCTGGCGGCTCAGTCAGGGTTGGTGGCGAGGGCGAAAGGTGTATGTTGTGTACGCGTCCGCGGAGAGCAAGTTAAAGTTTGCAGGGTTCTTGGTAAATGGTCAGCCAGGGGCTGCAGCCCTCCTTTACCCCCTCTGCCTTACCTCCCCCATCTACTGGAGCATCCATTTAACCTTGCTTTTCTTTTTAACGTTCACATCTGTTTTTTTTTGCCTGCTTGTGTGTCTGTGCGAGGGTGCCAGATCCGCTGGAACTGGAGAACTGCTGTGTGGGTGCTGAGATTTAAACCCAGCTCCTTTGGAAGAGCCAGTGCTCTTAACCACTGGGCCACCTCTACACCTCTCCATAAACTTGCTTTTCAAAAGACACAGGTTTTTGTTTGGTTTTGTTTGGTTGGTTGGTTTTCAAGCTCATCAAAGATCCTTGTCACAGAACGCATAAGAAAAAAAAAAGGTTTTGAACCAGATCTAGAATTTGGGTTTCTGGCTTGCTTCTGGCTGCTCAGCCTTGAACACAGCAGCAGCCTCGCTTGGCCCTCAGTATCTGTGCTCCCCAAAATGTTGACTCCTTTCTCTTACCTCTTAAATAGGAAGCAAGACAGTTGAGTCTCACTTAAGGGAAGCAAATTCAGTTTCCCCACGCTTCAAAAGGAGGGGTTAAGGTTTCTGGGTTTTGAGGCCCGATTACTCTGTGTTGTCCAGGCTGTCCTTGAAGTCACTGGAGCTTGGGCTGGCCTAGCCTCAAACTCTTAAATCCTGGGATTACAGGCGTGTGCTGCCGTGCCTTTAGATAAAATAAATAAGGAAATAAATAAAATGCCATCTTTTAAAGAGGAGGACACTGAGGCTTGAACAGCTGGGAGGGCTTGGTTGACTGGAAGCTATGAGTGAGTGTAGGCCAGCTCCAGAGCTACTGGGAAGTGAAGGCTATGGGAGAGCCCTGTGGGTGAGGTGACTTGTTATGGTCTCCTTTTACCAAGGAATCTGGCCCGGAGTGGTTTAGTAACTGGCTTGACACAGGATACAACCCCAGTGTGGCTTCCAAAGCCAGGCTCCCAGCCATTATTTCCTGTCGTCTTCTGTGTTATACTCATTGTACTGTCTCTGCCTGTTTGCTATCTTTTGTTAGAGTCATAGGGTCATCAAAGTCAGTCCGGGGTACAGTACAAGGGTTTTTCTTACTCACAGAATTTCTCTTAGGTTCGTAGAATATAGTAATGACACAGATTACATGCCTCGTGTTATTTTAGGTGTTTTAGAAATATGAGCATCCCAGACTTCAGACCAAGCCCATAAGTTAGGGATATTATTTCCTTTGTTTTGTAGATTTAAACAAGCTTAGAGAGATTAAGTGACTTGGTCCCTCTGATGCAACAAGGTCCAGCTGCTAGCCTCACTGGAGGGGACAGGCCATGTAGAGCTGCAGAGACAGGAAGTCATGGATGGTACGACATTATTCAGCACCACCTAAGGCAAATCCTTATTGAAATTTCTCCTGTTATCTCTAAGTTAGCTTTTAGCTGTTTGTTTGTTTGTTTTCCCTCAAACCAGAATATGTCCTAAGGTAGCATTTGACTATTCTGTGTTTTGAATTTCTTTCTTCTCAACTAATCCTTTTTTAGTTATGTCATTGACTTGAGAGAAAATGTTAGGTGGAGGGCTGTAGCTGGTCTTTTGCTACTTTGTGGGTTCTTTTTCCCACCCTTTATCCTCGCCTCGACCCTGTTTCACTCCCTGTCACTAGATAGGAGAGAAAGGAGGATAGAGGGGAGAGAGAGGGAGGAATCCTTGAATTGACTTTCTTCTTGTGTCTTCTCTGAGCATGAACACTAACAAACTGCAACTAACACCCCCCCCCCCATGAACCACCAACAACCTATGGGAGCTCTAGCATTTATAGAACCTCTAAAAAAGTTCCCAGAATTCCGAACATCACACAAATGCAGAAACTATCTGCAGCTGGCAAAACCATGCCTCTGTTACAGCACCAGGTAAATCATAGTCAGCTGCTGCGACACAGCCCCATGTCCCCACACCCGGGATGAAAAGGAAAACATTTTCTTACAATATTTCTGTGTTTTTTTTTTTTTTTATTTATTTTTATTTTTTTTTTTGTGTTTTTTTTAAAGATGCCAAAATTCCAGATTTCTCACTGCAGAGGGCTGAGCTTGGTGGCACACATCTTTAATCCCAGAGACTCAGGCAGGATGATCTGAATTTGAAGCCAGCCCACTCTCATAGTACATTCCAGGCCAGTCAGGCTACACAGTCTCAAAAACAAACAAACAAACAAACAAACAAACAAAT